TTAACTGACTCCTTTTTAATGGTTTAATTAAATTTCATTTTAAAAAAGCACGTCTAATTAAGTAAAATAATAATAAGTGAAACCTATACAATTTAACATCAATTTATTAAATGTTTAACAAAAAAATGCCCTCGACTAAAATTTTTTGTATTCGAGTAGTAGTTGTTAATTTTTAGCAATTCGTCGACTAATCACACGTTTATATTAATAAACCATATAATTCATAATAATGAGCCTTTAATTGCCTATAGCCTATCAGCACTCAAGTGCATGCATAAAACTTTGCACAGCACACCGGCAGAAGTAATGATTATGAATGCATCAAGAAGACGTCCTTAACATTATAATAATTCACTGATAAACTAGTGTTTTCTGTATTTCCGGCGGCAGTGATGAAGTCGACGACACTGACTGGTCATCTCCACAGTGGATTTGCAAGTTTCATATGGATTACATAATCTAAAAATATTTGTTTTCCATTTGAATTGGTTCATTTAAAAGTAGACATTTCACTTTCTATATATATATATATATATATAAATGTCTGTGAGGCAAGCACAGAGAGTTTTTTTTTTTTGACGTGCTGAAGTTCACAGAGACCTAGACGGCAGAAAGCGCACCCTGTTTGCTTTCATTATTTTACAAAAGCACAATGTTTTGTTGTTATTGTGAGAGCACAGAAATAAAAGTAAACCTTTTACAAATTCAAAAGATGTATTACTCTGTATGAGCAAAAATGACGGAGTATTTTAAGTTAAATGTAAATGATCGCACCGGCACCTCCAAGTGAACTGTCATGCAGTGAGTGCGCTACTATTTCAGCTTCCACACTCTGCACAAACACTTGAATAGCACACATTTTTCTAGGTTAACGTTAGAACGAGCGGCCATGTAATGATGCTGCTACTTACATGTTTCAGATGATAAGCCACATTTGAGGTCGATGAACGGAACGAACGCTTGGTTGTCCGATGTACTGTAATTAGTAGAGCCTGACCGATATGGATTTTTTGGGGCTGATACCGATATTTGGGAGTAAAAAAAGGCCGATATCGATATATCAGCCGATATTCTTTGTGTATATTATAGTACACTACCAGTCAAAAGTTTGGACACTTTCCCATTCGTGTGTCCAAACATTTGACTGGTACTATATATAGAATACAGTATATACAGTCTGACATCAGTGCACTGAACAGTAAAGTTGAAGTTTATTCAACTTTAATTCAATTCCATTCAACTTTATTCCGTTGAAGTTTATTTCACTTCGGAACATTCATTCACGGATTTGCGCTACTGACTTCACACACTGACGAAACTTACTAGAGAAGTGTGACATAATATACCTCTGTAAATGAATACAATATAAATTCACGTCTTGTGCACTTTAATGCCCTTTGAATGTAACGTGTACATTCCCTTGGAACTGGAATCATGGCGGAATATCATGTGAAGTCCACTTCGCAGGGCAATTACGGTTGAATAAGACAACGCTTGAATGCTGCTGCCTGAACGAGAGACCTCCTTACTGAAGTGAAAGTGTCACTATCTTGCGAACGCGTGGCGGATCTCCACCAAATTCGGGGGATCCCTTCAGCTCGAGGAGCCCTCTCGAACGCCACCCTCCGCGTGTCGGTTCATTCATATACACACACACACACACATATATATATATATATATATATATTATAGCAATTTTAGTACTTAAACTAAATGAAAATAAGAAATGTTGCCTTGGCAAATAGCTGAAATAAAAATGTATATAGCCAAGCTGAAATAAAATGTTTCATTTAGTTTCAAGTAATTACATTTATTCATGGTTTTAGTATTTAGCAATAATAATCTTGATAAGTAAGTTTTTAAAATATTTTATTTAATATCAATGTTTACCCAATGTTTTATTAGTACCATAATAACCTTGATACATATTTTTTTTGTATTAATATATATGTAACATTTAAGTTTTTTATATTCTATTTTATATCAGTTAATGTTTTTTATGTTAAGTAAGAAATTTTTTTGATTTTAGTCATTAACAATTTTATATATACATACACACACACACACACACACACATATATATATATATATATATATATTCATATATATACTATA